ATCTCCTCCCCACGCATTCACCGCCTTCTCTTCGTCATGCTTATCTCTTTTTATTGTTTTATTCAACATTTCACTATGCCTCCGCCCTACGCTTGACCGAACACTGCACATCCCTTGCACCTCCTACTGCCCTCCGGCTCTGCGCCCATTCTTCTCCGTTCTTTTTGTGTTTCGGATTGCATACCCGAGCCGGAGTATTAATTTGCATCGCTAACCGTCTTAATCGTCATCATAATAAAATTCCGCACCTACAACTCCGTGCATCACGTGGCAGACGATACTTTTTGACTTTTATGGTGAAATACCCGTGTCCATGTCTACTTCGAGAGCTTTACTTAGGGAACTACGCCAGAATTTTTACCCTCTCTGTTTTCGAATGAGTCAATTTACCTCCTTTACACGACCGTCGTGTTAACCACCTCGTTCTCTTTACTGGTAGGTCGCCGTTGCTATGCGCACCATGTAGAATATAGAATGCCGTACTCAGTGGACATCCTCCATAATCCGGGACAATTGCACAGCTGACATCAGTCCAGTACCATCCTGGGACTTGGGATTGTGATAGTCCAAGCATTTTGCGGCTTGCAGTGAATAAGATTCGAATCCCTTTGTCAATTCATTGTGTCTAGGCCCACACATTTAGTTTCTTGCTTTATGACCGCTTCCTCTTCCTGACACGCGGCAGAGTATCTTCCTTGCTTTTCTCGGACTGAAGAGGTCAACCTCCGACTGCGCTCCTCCGTCAGCACTTCCACCGCGTGCTTTCTACTGTGTTGAATGTGGCTTACTCATTTACACTTGCCTGGGGCGTTACCATGCAAAACGCCTTCCGCTCACCGACAACGCATTACTATCATTACACGTCCGAAGGCCTTCTGTTGGTTTGACTGCTATTCCGTCATAGCTGCACACTTGTCGTTTTCTCCTACTTCGTATTCCGAGGACTTTAAATCGCAGCAGAAGCGCCTACGGAGGCTCCAGCCTTCGCCATGTCCTTTACCGCTCTCGTTTCCCTAACCTTCTGCGCTAACCGCTTTCTTCCCTGCTACTACCCTGTTCATCGACCATCGGTGTGTTCGTGGACCCGAAAACATAAAATTTCCAGGACTTAGTTTGCAATCGGTGACTACATTATTGGAAAATACTACGTCAGCGTTAGTCATGTGGTGTGTGCAAAACAAAGGACCCATATATACATTTCAGCAGTGCAGGCGTAACAGTTAGCGAATGTCCTCCTGCTAGCAAAGGGCTGATCAAAAACTCTGCAGAACAACACCTGTTTTGGGAAACATCAGAGACAGTGGTCGGTAGTTTGTACGACCTGCAAATACCTAATGCTTACCGTTACATTTTCATCCAAATGAACTTCAATGCCTAGGAGTCAAGTGTGATTCAATTTGCAATGGCACACTGTTTTCAATTGGATTAAACCCGTCTCCTGTGGGTAATGTACCATGCCCAGCAGGTTGATGATTCACTTTGCTTCATGTGCACATGAACACACTCTGTCTGATACCCACGGTGTTCTATAAACTCAAAGGAAAATTAATCTACTTTTTCGCGGTCGCTGGCGAATCGCGTTCTAAGAGTCTTCTGCGGTATCCGTTTTTGAGAGTGCCACTTCTAGTGCAGCGATAACATCTACTGGCTGTGCGTCTCCTGTGTTGCAGCCGGATTCCTGTTAAAGCCTTTGAATTTGGTACTCTGTCAGCTGTTTGGATGACAGGTTGTGGACGGCTGACGGTCCGCGCACGGGTGCTTTTGCCTGTTTTATGTTTCACATTTTGTTGAGGAGTTGGGTCTTTTTCTTGTCTCGCTCCTCGTTCACCTTAATCAAGATCCATAACTTAAGGTTTCGCATTGTTTGCTCTTCCAGGTATGCTGCACATGCTGTTTTCTCCCTTTCGATTTTCTGCCGTATTTGCGCAGACGACTGCGACATTCGTTGGTGAGAGTCCTTATTAGGCGTCGGCTACATCTCCTAGCGACCTCGCGGCCGAAGTCAGTGCTGGCTGGTGATCTTACAGAAATGCACCTCGAGATAATTTTCGAACTCAGACGGATGTGCACAAAGGCCTACTGTTCTCATGGACATCCATGTTGGCAGAAAAATAACTCCCAGTGCCGTGCTCGGCGAAGCGCTTCGCGCCGGAAGTCTCATGGATATAGGCGACAATTCTGACCGCAGGTTTTAAGATGGAAGAGCAAGATGAGGCGGTCTCTGGGGAAGGTTTATTCGTCTGACGTGTCCTACTCATACACGAGCACATCACCCGGAACAGGCCAAATGAGATATACATGGTTTAGTTAGGCCATTCGCGCTAGCGCCTGATAGGTCGATCCTGCTCTCCTCGTATTGGGCCTCATCTCGAGCGCAAGTGATGCCTGATTGACTCGTATGGCGCAGGTAGGTCAATACTGCGGTTGATCGATTTGGCGTCTGATTACCAGGCTTCGATTACTTCTCTCGCCAGCGTGCTTTCGGCTCGGCCGAGTACTTGGGCACGTCAAAGTCGAACACGTGATTATTTTCTAGACTGTGCATGGCGACATGCGAGCGTACGTCCTTCGCTTTACGCTTAAGACGTGCTCATGCACGCGCGTGAGCAGTCGTTTGTCCATCATGCCGCAGTAGTTGGTCAGACAGTCTAGCTATCTGACGCGGTTAATGACGCCTGACGTGTCGGCAGGTGGTAGCCTGTCCTTGGGTTGCATGAGTTAGCCACCGATGGTGGCTTCCGGTCGGTGTCCAACGCTAATGCTTAGTAAACTTAGCATGCGCTCAGTAGCTTCGGAGAAGTTTCTCACGTAGGGCAGAACGCGGAAGTATGCAGGTCTTTGCGTGTTATCACGATAGGCCCTCTTATGTCTTTGCTATACGCATTTGTTCACCAAACCGCGTGGATATCCATTAGCAAGTAAGAGGTGCCATAGGGTTGCACGCTCCCTCAGCTTAACGAATTATGTGCTGCAGTGTGTGTTGATGCGGCGAAAAATCGTTCGCACGCAACTACTTTCATGCGACCTGGGCTGGTTGCTGTTGCATTGGAAAATGTTCTCTTTGTTTGTCAATTTTCGAAAGACACCTGTCTGGAGAATTCCGTCTTCTTGCCTCTTTACCTGAACGTGGAGGAAAAGGGAGCACTCCCTCTTCTTCGTCGTCTTCTTCTTCTTCTTATTCTTCTTCTTCTTCCATGGTAAACTGAATGTATGGGAAGACCGAGTTGAATTCCCTTTTACAGTTGCCTTTCGCGTCTCGGCGTAAGTTGACAAATTTTTCGTCTACGAAGCGCATCCAGAACATCGGCTTGTAGGACTGATATGCTGGAGCTTACAGTTCCTGCATGACGGCCTCAGCCACATAGCTGGAAATCGGGAACCCATTGGGGTTCCCTGGGTTTGCTCGTAAATTTGTCCACCAAAAGTGAAGTATATGCGTAGACAGTAGTCTAATAATTCCATCAGGTTCTTCCTCTTAAACGGGTCCCCCATTCGTCGTTGTTTCTCTCCAGTTGGTTATTCATGACATGCATGGGTAATTCTTTTGGGAGTTAGGTGAACAGAGAGACGACGTCAAAGAATACCATTACCTCGTCGGGAGCTATTATAACGCTTTTGAGTTTTTCTAGCAAGTGGTTTTAAGATACGGCTGTGTGTTCTGAGCAGTCCGTCAACCTCTTTAAATGCTTAGCGAGCCATTTAGCCAGTTCGTAGGTAGGCTTGCCTTTCAGCGACACTATGGGTCGTAGGGGAACATTTGTCTTTGAAAAATAACTCCCAATTCCTGTACCAGTTTTAAATCGGAGAGGTAATTTCCGAAAATATTTGGAGACAGAAGAATCAGCATGGAATTGCCCAAGCACGTTTCCACTGTTGCCGAAATTCCACAAGCCAAACGTTCCCGTACGACCCATTGTTCCACTGAAAGGCACGACTACCTACGGACTGGCTAAATAACTCGCCAATCACCGGTGACCTACTTGAAAGAATGTGGGACAAATATGGAAACCCGTTTGAAAACGAAGTACCTGATGGAATTATTAGACCATTGCCTACGCACATACTTCACTTTTGGTTACGAGCAAATCCAAGGAACCCCAACGGGGCCCCGATTTCCGGCTATCTGGCTGAGGCGATCAAGCGGGAACTTGAGGCTCGAGTCCTTCAGTCCTACGAGCCTAAAGTTCTGGATGGGCTTCGTAGACGACACATTTCTCAACTTACGCCGAGACGCGAAAGACAACTGTAAAAGGGAATTGAACTCGGTCTTCCCATAAATTCAGTTTACCAAGGAAGAAGAAGAAGAAGAGGGAGTGCTCCCTTTTCCTCCACGTTCAGGTAAAGAGGCAAGAAGACGGAATTCTCCAGACAGGTGACTTTCGAAAATTGACAAACAAAGAGAACATTTTCCAATGCAACAGCAACCAGCCCCTGTCGCATGAAAGTAGTTGCGTGCGAACGATTTTTCGCCGCATCAACACACACTGCAGCACATAATTCGATAAGCTGAGGGAGCGTGCAACCCTATGGGACACCTTTCTTGCCAATGGATTTCCGCGCTGTTTTGGAACGGCAATTAGATTTGATCCCGGGATCTTTGGTCATAGAGTTTGACAATCTCCTATTGTGCCACGGGCCCTTCGACCTGTCGGTTGTGATCAGGAATATCAATTATGACAGTGGGCGATCACCGATCAGGTTACGGAACATGCTATTTCCGTTCTGACTTTTGGGGCTCATACTAGAACCGTCGAAGGATGTCGCTTATTGACCAGTGGTAAACCTAGATGAGATCGAGCCGACAAAGACAAAGGAAACCGAAATGGCCATTGCTAACTTTCTCAATACCACATGACCTAGCGATTGAGAGCGTAACCCGACACCTGCAAGATAATCCAACCAACATTCCACTAGAACAAATTTCGGAGCTTCTTAGACTCTGTCTCAAGAACTACTGCCAATTCGATGGAAAGTTTTATCAACAGGCTAGGGGTACATCAATGGGCTCCCCCATATCAGGTCTGCTGGCTGACCTCGTACTACAACAACTAGAAGAGGAAGTTATGCGAACCTTTAAGCCAAAAATGTGGCTCCGATACGTAGATGATACGTTTGTTATCATGAAGACCTGCGAAATTGAGCAACTACATCTGAGTCTGAATAGCGTGTTCCCAGCTATCCAGTTTACCCGGGAAGAGGCAACAGGAGGCATTCTCCCGTTTCTAGACGTTAGTATCCAAACGCTCAGTGATGGCGGTCTTGCAACGAGCGTCTACCGAAAAGACTCCAGTGCTGACGTCATTCTTAATTATGAAAGCAACCATCCTGCGGCTCATAAAAGGAGCTGTGTCCGAACCCTTTTCCACCGGGCCTATCGTTACTGCAGCAGCGATGACCTGCTTAAGAAAGAACTCACTTTCTTGTATCGGTTATTCCGGCTCAACGGGTACCCGATCAGCTTTGTGAAAAACTGTCTCAGACATCGGAGACAACCACAAAGCACTGGTTCTAATGAGGGATCAGAAATACGGAAATTCTTCTCACTCCCCTACATACAGGGCATTTCCGAAGCGATCGCCCGACAACTAAATCGGTTTGGCATCTTCATTGCCCACAAGCCGGCGTCCTCCCTACGCGCAACGCTATCTCATGTAAAAGACGCCGTACCCAAAGAGCAGCAAAGCAATGTCATCTACCGCATTCCGTGTGCTAACTGCTCCTGCGACTATGTTGGTCATACAGGCCGACGACTCGGGACGCGTATAAACGAACATAAACTAGCCATCCGCAGACGTGACCCTTTTTCACTAGTGTTCGCGCACGCCCTTGAATGCGGCCATCGCTTCAATTGGGAAGAAACTGAAGTTGTTGCCACGGCAAACACCAAACAGGCCCGAGAATTCCTCGAAGCCTGGCACTCTAAAACGACCAGCATCAATCGCCATGTCGATCTGGACGCTCATTACGAAGGTCTACGTGCCCGGCTCACTGACTTGCGCCTGCGACCTAACAACAGCCGCTAACCCATACTGGGACATGTATAATCGCACAATTTCGCCACCCTCTACCCCAGACACAGTGAACCGCAACTGCAATCCCTAACACCTCTGCGTTGGACCACTGACCACTGCCCGCATGTCGGATCGACGAACTGTCCGTAATCCCATTTAATCGTCACCCCCTCCCCTACACTCCAACACAGGGAGCCCCAACAGTTCGCCCTCCCCTCCCCCGCCACAGATCCTAGACTAATTATGCGTCCACCCGCATTTCATGCATTAGTTGCTTGCCTGTCAGTGGCTGCCCTGTCATGCTAACCAATTTAGTTTGATCATTTCACTTTCTCCTTCGTTTATTTCGTCTGACGACGGGTTGGTGTCACCAGCTCGAAAATTCACGAGTACACCTCAATTCTTTCCGTCGAGCCTTCTATCTTCTTCATATATATATATATATAT